TTCATACAGGTTACTTATGATCTAATTTCAGCCTTAGAGGTAACTGAGAGAAGGGGATAATATCAAACCACTTAATAAGTTTACACTTGTTGTTGATATATTGAGTTAAATATCATTACACATCTACAGTAAAATAAACTTTCATCTACAAAAATAAATGTCCCAAATGGTTGTATTCCAACCTGTCACTTTTATTCTTCTGGTTCTTCTCAGGTGTCTTCTTTCCTTGTCTTCATCAATGTCCTGGGCTCTTTCATTCTGGTTCACAGCCCCAGGGACGCATAAATCACAACTTCAGAAGAACCAAACAAACCATAAAAAATAAAACAAAACAAAACAAACAAAAAAAACCCACTCCTAGAAAAGAAACAAAATTCTAGTTTAGGAATGATAAACAATATAAAGTTATTAAATGTAAGTAAATCAGTTCTTGTAAGATGAAAAACAATATTTCTTACAAACAAACAAATTATATATAATATTTATGTTATCATATACGATCTGAGTAATATATTATCGTAATATTTGATTAAATATCATTATAATATTATACAATTATGAATGCCAAGAACACTTACTCTTTGAATGGGTTTTAAATTCTTATAAACAAGAGAGACACACCGGATGTTATTCAAGAGCCATGTGCCATGTGCCAGCCTCGAGCTGTGAAGAAGATATACTCTTTATCTCTAATTTACAGTTTAATCTCAAATAGTTACTTTCTTTTCTTCTGTAAATCAATTGTACAGTAGTTCATGACTTTATTAATTATATTATTATAGTGGAATGTTCTTTCTTACCTCAGATATTTCACGATAATCAAATACTCTTTCAGGCTGCTGTATGGCACTCCTCTCTGATCTCGATCTCTCTCTCTATGATTATAGCTATGTTTTCAGGATTTAGCACTGTATATACTTTGAATTTTAAAGTCTACTCAGATCACATATATTACACTTATACAGTCCTTCTTAATCTATACATGCATAATTTTCAGAACTTAAATGGATCCTTCCATTAACAAAAATAATATATATGGTTTTCTTTACAAAAATATCAATTATACAACCTTAATATAATAATACTATTGTAATATAATAGCGTACCCTTTAAATAAAGAGAATGTATGGTGGGGGTAACAAAAAAGCTTATACTTTGTAGGGTAGACTATCATATTTTACAATTTTCTTATCTTAGAAAAATATAATATTGGAATATATAGAATTTCATGTAAAACTATTAAAATAAAATATCATCTTTCTAGAAAAATAATAAAGTACTTTTTTTCTCAAATAATTAAAGCTAAAAAACTGAGGTATACTTAAATAATACATATGCATAAAGACTAAGTGAGGTGTATACAGGGGGGTTTCTAGACGAATTTTGGGTCATTCTAAATTCACATCCCTTGTGCTCGTTACATTACTGTATGGCGTCACTATCTAAGTGAAAAGAAGAATCATTGTAATAATGGAATAAATAGTTTTGACTTTGACTTTGACTTTGACTCTCTCTCTATCTATCTATCTATCTATCTATTTATCTATCTATCTATCTCTATATATTTTTTTTCCAACAGCCATTTATGCTACTGCAGGAAATCGGCCTCTCTCAACCTGAGAGCTTATTTGGCAACCTCACTCTTGCCTGATTGGATGCCCTTCCTAATCAACCGCGGTTCGGTGTGTGCCACGGCGATGACTTCCCCTACGACACCTGCGTTTGACTTCTCAAGGCGATATGTCGTTTTCTCGCCGTGAGATTAGGCTCGAGCCAGCAGTCAGAGCGCAGGCATTTTTACGACTGCCGCGACGGGGAATTGAGGGTCGGAGTCCAGTGCTCTAGCCACTGGTCCATCGCGGCAGTCAAGAACTTGGCTTGAACTGGAACCGATCGTGGGACCCCCGCGTGGGAGGCAATGGCCGTACTATTCACGCCACCTAATGCATTATATATATGTATATATATATATATATATTTTTTTTAACAGCCATTCATTCCGCTGCAGGACATCGGCCTCTCTCAATTCAGTATTGAGAGGTTATATGGCAGTGTCACCCTTGCCTGATTGAATGTCCTTCCTAATCAACCGCGGTTCGGCGCGTTAACACTTGTGCCAAGGTGGTGACTTCCCCTCTGACACCTCGTTTGACTTCTCAAGGCGATATGTCGTTTTCTCGGGCTCGATATAGCAGTCAGAGCGTAAGCATTTTTATGACCACCGCGACGGGGAATTGAACCCGGGACCACGAGGGTTGGAGTCCAGTGCTCTAACCACTGAGCTATCGCGGCAGTCATTATGTATATATCATTATCATCATCATTTGGGAGCTAACGCCGGCAGGGACGCATAGCCGCATCCACCCTTTGTTTCCACCTACGAGGAGCCCTCATAGCGAGCCGCCAGGCAGAGGCCCGGCCCATCTCTAGTTCCTCACGACAGGTTTGATCGATCTGCCCAAGCCACGACCTTCTCGGTCGTCCCACAGGCCTCCTCCAC